GTATCCATCAACAATGTAGTCACCTTAAGATGGATCAAAGGTCACGCCTTATCGAAAAGTAACCGTCTTGCTGGTTCACTAGCCAAGAAAGCAGCCAACCAAATACTTTTTGGACCTGACCCTTCTATTGGCCTGACAAAATCGTTAGTGACAGACATAAGTAAAGAACATTCCCTTGTGAAATTCAAGGAAAGATAGGATAAAACAAGAAATAGCAGAGTTGCCGGGGAGCTCTTAAGTTATCCTGACAACACTGCAGCAAACAAATACTTAACTATGACTAGACTAAATCTGCATCTGGTCACAGGCATTCTGACTGGTCATTTCCAAGTACGAAAGCATCTCCATATCATGGGGCTGTCAGAATCCGCATTCTGTAGAGGGTGCGAACAAGAAGATGAGACTATTGAGAATATCCTTTACGATTGCTCGACGCACTCATTTATTAGAAGATTTATGTTCGGCGAGTATCGGCTAACACCGGATGATATAAGAGAACACCTTTTGGCGACGTTGTCAACTACATTAAATCTGTAGGCTGGCTCACGAGCTAGGAGGTGCCTATCATCTCAGGAGGATGCACAATGGGCCTCATCAAGCGGCGGATTTTTTGAAGTAGTGTTCCAGAACCGGCATGATTGCACTACTGTATCTCTTTTTCTGTAAGGTGGGGGAGGATTAGATAGCCATCCTCCCAGTACAAATGTTTACAATTTATCAACTCGTCAAAAACTTGAAGGTTGTGAGGAATAGAAAACTTCTCAATTCTTCTCCATTTTTTCATGTGGCTATTTATTTGGTGGACTTCTACCACCCGGATGGTAAATGCACGGGTGAAGCTATTCTAACAGTCCGCTTCACAATAAATAATTCTGTATTACTGCACACATTTTGCATTTATTACTGCTGAAGAAATGTTCTTACCTACATCCTAAATCAATTAAAATCCCAAATTCCAATAAATTTGTATAGTAAACCTATCATCAAATATTATCACCAATTAAATTTAACCTTTTATATAAACACAACTATAATCCATATTTATAATCAAATTTTGATTTTAATAAAAAAAATTAAACTGTTCTTTTTTTATACATTTTGATTGGTAAATATTTTCTTTTATAAAATATGAAAATTTTATTTGAAATCCCACTTCTGAGAATTAAAACTATTTATCCCACTTCTGAAAATGAAAACCATTTAGTAAATATATATCTCGGCCCGACAATAATATTAATCCGAATATTCTAGATAGCGTGACCTGTTCGAAATTAGTAAATAGCGTTTCGTATTAAAGTTGGATGTATAACACCGGGGGGATCGTAAATTATTACTCCAGGAATAGAAAACAATCAACCACAGTCCTGCCTCTTCTCCTGCAAGAAATTGAAATTAATATCGAAACACCGAGCGAAATTATTCTGGGACAAAAACGACCCGGGACAATCGCGGCGATCTGCGTTTTGGACGATGCGTATTTGTTCGAGCAGTACTAATTTGACAGTTGTGGAATTTATATACTGCTCATTGTATATACGTAATAATATGATGCAGGGTCGGGTTTTAAAATTGAGAAGAAACATTAAAAATAATTAAATTAAATATTTTTTGTAAAAATAGAGAACTTTTCTTATTGTAAGATTAACAGTATATAGAGAAGCAGAACCATGCATAAAATTGGTGAATTTTTCTTTCAATATTATCCGTCATTGAGTGAACTATATGAACCAAAGACTTTCCCTGCGGCGAATTTCCTTGCAAGAATGTAAACACCAAATATTTACGTATTTTAACTATGCAATGACATTATTTGTTTGCTTGTTGGAAACTCAAACCTCACGCTAGTAGGTATGTTTGTAAACCGAAGTAATTGATCTAAGGTTGAAAAAGAGTGGCTCGGAGACATTTTATAGTGTCGAAGTATGTAATTGGAGTGAGTTTGTAGCAATAGACGTATAACAACCTCGAGATATGTTGACTGTTGGAAGTTTAAAACAGTAGTGATGATACGCGACAGACGAAACGATGTGTACACTTAAAGGTGAAGTGGACAACTCGTCGATTTGGAATTAGTTGGCGTACGTGACCATCGTGATGCGCGTAGAAGATGTATTTAGCTTGTACTGCATCTTAAATGCATGTGTTGATCCCAGGTGGCTTAAACAAAGGGGCGAGTTGGAAAATAGTATGTTTAAATTGGAGAATATGTTATGAAATTTAAATTTGAACATAATACATAACGAAATAATATGCGCAGTAATGTGAAAATGTCGTTAACTCATATCTTAGTTATTATTGGTCGGATAAATATCATACAGATATTTAACAAAATAAGGTTTTTTTGAATACAGTTACCAAATAGTTACTTACACGTACTTTATATTGTAAATATTATAAACTTAATAAACTGATTACTATAAAAAAACTGATTGTATCTATTGTTCTTTAAAGTTTTGTTAGTAGGGTCTGATAAATTGTGTTTATTGAATAGAATATCTAAATAAATGAGTTATGATAAGGTGATTTTATTAATTTATTTTTGAAATTTCCTTTTACCATTTATCTCAATCCATAAAATTTCATTGTCCAACTGTTAATACAGTTTTCTAAAATTGGATTTTAAATTAAGAGTATGTCAAAAATAAAATAATAAGCAACTGAAAAAGTTGAGAGGTTGAATCAAAATTACTATCAATTTGTCAAGTCAAGAATCCTACTAGTTTTTTACATTATTTTTAATATATTTTTCTTCTTTTTCAGGTAAGTCTTCTGTTTCTACGACAAATTCTTCATTCTCACAAGACAGATAAGTAAAATTTAACAGTACTATTTTTTAATTAATTTATTTCTAAATTTTATAACAAAATAGCCTTTAACGACAAGTTAACAACTTTAAAGCTCCAATAAATAAGACATAACAATTGGTTTAGTTAAATAATAAAATTATTGCGCTAGTTGAGTTACCCCCTCGATTGCCAGGTATGATGGGTGTCCAAATTTGACCTTCGGATGCAATTTAATAATAAACACAAAAATGTTTGAAATATTATGTTACTGTTTTTTTAAAGTTTAAATGTTACGGTTAAGATTACAAATAACCTTTTCGCAAACATTCTGTTTAATGTTTTCAATTTTTTGAATAATGTTAACTGTTCAGGTGTTTGAGGGTTATTAGCATAAACTTTTCCCTTCAAAAAGCTCCACAAGAAATAATCCAATGATAATTAATCCCAGCTATTGGAGAATTTATTCGATTGTCAAATCTCTCCCTTAAAAGATTTACTGTTTCATCCGATGTGTTGCAAGTGGCACCGACTTCCTTGAACCATATGTTCTGGACATCCATACCTTTTAATTCGTTTCACAAATAATCTCTAATCATTGTCCTGTATAGCACTTCATTCACAGTTACCCCTTCACCAGCTTCATTCTGGAAAAAATAGTCACATTTACTGGATACAGTCGTTTTTCCAATATTTCTCTTGGATTTTCTTTACCACATATTCTACAATTCTGCTGTTAAAATCTCTTCATAAAACTATTAATAACTTGAAAAGTTCCGAAATGCGTACGGCATCTTCTTGCAGTTTTAGCAAAACATTCTTCATTTTCAAAAGCAAAAACGAGGTGTTCGATAAACAGTTGTTCCATGTTGATCAACAAAACAAGTATTCGCAAAGTTTTTAATTGAGATATGTCACCGTTGAAATACTGTCAATGAAGATTACAAAAAATGGCGGTCAATTTAAATCGGAATGTCAAATTTGGACATCTAATATTTAAAACTCAACCATTCTTTAGAAATAGTTTCTTTATTAACAGTAAGAACTGATTAACATTTCTAGAAACCATATTTAAAATCTGTCCGGATTTTCCGTTAAGTATTCATAATGGCTTGATTAATTATTCAACACCCTGTACAGTCAGCCGTTGGGAAATTAATAAAATGTTGTCGAGTTCAGTGACCATACTAATTTTATCGTAATTGTTATTGTCAGCGGGTATACGAGTTCTAATAGAGTCTGATTATTCAAACTATCGTTAGCTTGCATAAAAAGGTTTAATTAAAAAGTATAAAAAAGACTAGATATAGACCGCAGAAAACTGTTATGTAAACATAAATACGGGGGTTCACTAAATTGTATGAAAGGAATTTATACGATACTGTTGAATAGAATCTGGGTATCTTGAATGAATTTGAATGTTCTGTTACCAATAAAAAATTTTATCGCAGGACGTTAAGTGCCCTCATGGTAGAGCGGTTAAGATAATGGCTCGAAACGCCAGAGAGAGCAGGTTAATCCTCTTTTATAAATTTTTTTTTCACATTAGGTTTTTTATTAATTTATTCTTTAATTTTCTATCATTTTTTTTTTTCACAATAAAATAGTATTTAGCATTATCAACGGTAATAAGTACAGGGCTCGTATAAAGCCCCCGTTACGTTTAAACGGAAATATTAATAATAAAGTTGCCATACATGAAATGGAAAATAATTTCAAACTTAAATGTGACCAAGGGTTACTAAGGAGAACATTATTCTTTTATTGTAATATTAGGACTCGTCAGTAAGAAGTGTACATTTTCTAATAAAACTTGCCTTTGGCGTTATTTTTTAAAATTCATATTTTAAATGGAATCAGTTGTGCGTGTAATACTTCGTTTACATGCTAGGTACCTTAGATACTAATATGATGGGCATATTATCAAAGGCGGCAATCTCCACTTTGTGGCGAAATTTAGTAAGATACGTCAAATTGTTCGTAATTTCGCGCTTTGTATGAAAAAAGCGAATAATACTATCAAAAGTAGCAATATTCCTTCATAAAATACCAGAAAAACAAATTCGGCCAATTAAACGGCTCGTAAAGGCCATGTGACATGACACTCGTTATAATTGTCTATTTTAACGTTTCTTCACAATACGGTGCATAACAAAACAAAGTGTTTTTAATAATATTTTTATAGTGGTACAAGTTATTGTGCGTTTATAATTTAAAATGGAAAGTATTAAAACTCCTTTTGAAAACAATAAAGCTCGAAAAAAAAATCGTAATCCATCTACATGGAAGCAAAACATGCAGAAAAGTATAAGGTAGGTTAGGTACTAAAAAGTTTTAGGTAACTATGTCTAGATCCTCTTAAGATGGATATTATGAACCAAAAAGTGGACAAAATGCTGCATGATAAACATTTAGTTTCCGTTCTTTTTTTTTTAGATACTCTTCACCGCAGTTACCACAATTTCCTACGTGTGATCATAAAACGAAGGCCTATCAATGTTTTACCCTAACAATGAGAGATATTAAAAGTTTTCATGACGCGTTTCATGCAGTTAAAAATAAAATCCGTAAGGATGCATTTATTTTAAAGTTTTACACTGTTCAACTACCTAAACGTCACTGTCCAAGAAATTCCAGACACACAGCTAAAGCAACTGCTGTAAAATGCTTCATAAGAAATAACGCTTTAAAGCAAGAAGTTCCAGTGTGCCAAAACACAGGTGAAACGCCTTTAGAAAAAAGAGGAGGCGACAGAAAAACAGCAAAGTTCAAAGGAAAACAAGATGGTGTCCAAAAATTTAATAATACATTTAAAAGTATAGAATCGCATTATATCCGTTCCTCCTCACGTAGACATTATCTTACTTTTGATTTGTCTATAGAAAAAATGTGTAAAATGTATAATGATCAGTATTCTTTGGAACAAAGGGTAAAAGCGTCATACATTCGAATGATTTTTAATACCAAGTACAACATCAGCTTTACTAGACCCCGTACTGATGTGTGTTCCTTATGTATAGAGCTCACGGAGAAGATTAATAAAAGAGGTACAGATGAAGAGGAGAAAAAAATGTCTCGGAAAAGAAAATTCATAAACTAAGAACAAATGCATTTTATAAGTTACTTAGAGAGGCTAGGGATGATTTGATAACACTATCTTTTGATTGTCAAAAGAATCTCGTCCTTTTTAAGGTTCCAGATCAAAGTGCATATTGCTCAAGGCAAATGTATCTGTATAATTTTACCATTTTTCAGGGGACATCTCAATCTAAACTTAATAAGCAAAATGTATTTTCGTATTACTGGACGGAAAACTAGTTTGGTAAAGGTTCCAATTAAGTTTCTTCGGCTGTACTTGATAGGCTCAATAAAATTTTGGCCCTGCTGTAACTACCGTGAGGTTGATGGCAAATGGTTGCAGTGGGCAAAACAAGAACACTACACTCATTGGAATGTGCTGCAAATGGCTTTCTAAAAGGGCACCGGGACATGTGCAGAATGTCGAAGTGATTTTTCCGGTAGTAGGCCATTCATTTTTGCCTGCTGATAGGGTATTTGGCAATATTGAAAAGGATATCAAAAAGTTAGAAGTTAAAACGCAGCCTGAAACCTATATGTGGAATTATTTTCAAAAATTGCTACAGTTATTCATTTGGGACACAACTGCTCTGTATTTAATTGGAAAGACACGATCGCTGTTGTTTTCAAACCCACAGGAACATGGCATTTTCTTTTAAGAATACAAAAATGTTTTTACTAAAGAAATGTAAAACTGGAAATGTTTACATAAGAGGTGAATTACATCACAAGAACGATTTGCAAATCTCCAAAAGTGTTCTTAAGAAGGGATATACTTTTTACATAATAGAGCATCCTATTATAGAAAGGGGTTTGCAACAAGTCAATGTGCTTAAACTTAACGATGTTAATAAGCTACTTACAAAATATTTTAGCACCTCTTGGAGGTCCCTGTAAGAACTTAAATTTTATATCAAATACAGTGCCTGGGCCAGGGAATCCAGTTCAGAAACCGAAGAAGTAACTTGCGAATTTATTGAGGAAATTCCTTCTTTACTTGTACATTATGATCAGTAATAAATTTTCGATTATAATATTTTGACTTTAATATTGTATTATTTTGTCTTTATAACCTATCCAAAATACTAGGTATTAATTTCAATGAATTTTTGCTTTATACTTTTTGGTATCAAAACAGGAAATATTTAACTGTGAGTATCAAACACGGCATTCTACCTTACATTTTTTTTTTTTTTTAACATTTAAGAATTTAGGTAGAGTTACTTTACAATTTGCCGTAGTTTACCATCTTCTTTAGTTAAAAAGTATGTTTATATCGATATTAGTCATAATGAGAACGTAGCATTGTTTTGCTCTTTACTCAAAAGTGATAATGGTGTATATTGCCGCCTTGGTTACTAGGCCCCTCATATATATCTTTATCTAAAAATTAATGTTTCGAATAAAATTAAGTTTCATATGAAAATTTACACAAATTGGAAGTAAACTTCTATTCTCACCGTAGCAAATACACGTACATAAGACGTACTAAGTACGTAGTGATGGAATGTAAAATACGTACGAAGTAAGTACATTACTCTACAAAGTACGTTCATATTACCTACATAATACGTACATTTTTCAAGCCATAGTACGATAGTAAGTACTTTGTACGTTATATGTACATACTGTATACGTTATATCTACATACTGTGTACGTAATATGTACATATCTACGTACTTATTACAATTAGTACCTACTCTGGACGTACTTATCGGTACAGTACGACAAGATTAAGATGGCAAGTCAGAATTAGATGCGACAGGGGCCCACTCATCGCTGATAACCGACGTTCTTCGTACTGTAACTTCTTTAACAGATGTGGCCAACCCCTTTCCATTCAGAGTTCCTTGACCAGCACCTTCATTGCACTTCGGAAGTTCCGCCATGACAGGCGTTTTTTTCTCTACAGTTCCTTGCAAACCAGAGGAGTAAGCTATGGTTTCACTACTTTCAGGTAACACCGTTCCTTCCTGTACAGCCACCGGCACGGTTTTTCGATTTGTAGTGTTCTTTGGACGTTTGCGCGAACTGCTTTTCCCATTTCACCGCAATTCCAGCACCTAATAACCTTCAGTTGCTTCTCAATAAGGTTTTTTATCAAGTGAAACAATTGGTCCAATTTACTTCTCTGTTCTTCTTCTTGTACAGTCCTTACTTCACTGTATCAACCAGAAGCCAGTGTAGCCACTTCATATTCGAGAGCAGCGGACAAGACATCGACCAATGTTTTGTGACGGGCTAAACGAAGTGTTCTTTGCATTTCTGTTTGCGATTCTTCAACTGTAATCTGTACACCTGCTCCAAGTGTTCGTGGCCATATCGCATGTTCAATCTCTTTTTTAGTCATTTAAAATTATCGGTCTCTTCCACAGGTATAGTCTGAAGGACATCTAAAGCGTCTCCTCGAAGGGCTAATGTTAGATTCACTGCCATTTCTCTCTCGCAGCTGTCTCGCAGCTGTCTCGAACTGTTTAAGGTAGTTGGTCCATGACATCTTTCCGTCGAAGGTTGGAGCTTTAACACGAGTAGAGTTTACAGCTCCTTCCAATTTTAACTTTGACTCCACCTCATGACACTTTATTTCATCGTCCTTGGTCGGGTCTGAATGTTCCAGTTCTTCTATCTTCTTCTCCATCTCTTTTATTTTCTCCTCAACGGAAGACATTATTTTATTCTCAACGAAAGAAATCTTATCTTCCATAGAAGATTTCGGAAGACACTTTTTCTTCTAAAGAAGAAATATTAGACGAACATTTATTTTCCATAGAAGACATTTTGCTTTCCAAGTCGGAAGAAATTTCATCTTTTAAAGAAGATATATCGGAAGAGACTTTATCTTCTAAGGAAGAAACTGTATTGTCTAAGGAAGAAATGTCAGAAGAAACTTTAGTTTCTAATGAGGAAATATCATTTTTGATAGAGGATACATCTGAAGAAATATCGGTTTTTAAAATAGACATTTTACTTTCCATATCGGAAGAAACTTTGGTTTCCATGGAAGACATTTTACTTTCCAAAGAAGAAATTATAGAAGACGCATCATCAGAAAATAGATACGTTTCCGAATCCAAACCTTCACTTCCTAGTGCTTCTTTAAGCCTCTCTCCCGGTCGTCTCCCTGTCGTCTCCAGCTCACGACGTAGCTTGGTCACTTTTAAATTTCATAGTCTTTTAGCCAATATTGTCCACTATTTATTTATATTTCCACTTCTGACACCAATGTTACGATAGTCTAATTTATTTATAGTTTATTTATTTAAAACACACTATTTACAATTTATTTATGACGTACTATTTAATTTATATAATACTTAGACACTAACTAACAATTCTAATTTATGTATTACAATTTAACTTTTCATTACAATGCTCTAAACTAAACTGTCTATATACAACTGACTTCCGTCTTCACACTCGCGATATTTATATCAAGCCAACTCTGTAACCAGAATACTCGAGAAGGTGTGGAATGTTCTAGACTTCCATCTCTATGACTCAACGTCACGTACCTACCGCTTGTTCTGGTATATTCGAGAGGCGTATGATTGTCTCTATATTGCCAGCGCGCCGCTAGACTCCATACCGCGGGAGTAAACAACAGACATGGTAGGCTTTTGCGCGACATAATTTATTCCAACCTATACGTTCTCACTGTATGTTAAAATAAATGTTAATTTTAAAGCATACAAAAAAGTAGGAAGATATTATTGGTCCCTGGTATTATTAGAGAATTTTTACTACTTTTAATATGACATGTTGATGGGTGTCGGTTCCAAATAATGATAAAGAGTGTAAAAAACCTTTTACGTAGCCGTAACTGTATCTGTTTAGATTATTAAAAATAGCTCTTGGGCATAAACTTGAATGTAGGTACATAATAAAAATTTGATAATACATAAACGCTATTTCAGTGTAAGAGCTTTTTTTATGGACGAAACGATTCTTAAACAGCTTTTTTATTCAGATTTAGATTATGAGATTCGTAATAAAGAACGAGTGGAATTTCCTTTAGATTGTTTCAAAAAAAAGTGAATTTGAAAAGATATAACAGTAATAAATCTGGAATGCTAATAATTAAATAACAATAGTTAAAAACAAGTACAGCAACAATTGAAAAAGTTGCCAAATATTACTAAAGATATTACAACCTATCATAGAAGAAAAAAATGTAATTCCGATAGCATTAGAGAGAAACATTCGACAATTAACTAAGTTCACCGAATAACAGAAAGAAAATTTTGCTTATTTTCTTAGACATAGCGCAAGTTTTCGACAAAATTAAAATTAAACATGTCCAGTCAGTATTTAAAATTGATCACATCATACCCTGTAGCATGTAGAAATTTAAGAAGGGGTGACACAAGGAAGTGTATTAGAACCAGTGCTGTATCTACTATACAGGGTTATCCATTAGTTTGAAAAAGTCCAATATCTCCGCCATTATTAGAGATATAAAAAAATATTTTCACAGAGCGGTAGACAGCCTTAAACTACATATTTTAAAATTATTTTTGAATATACAGAGTGTTTAATAACTTCTCTCAGGAACCAACTTATGTTCTTTTTAATGGATCACCCTGTATTTTATTTTATATTTGAATTACCCTCGCTTATCTCATTCTAAAAATATAAATTATTATTGGTTTATACAGGGTATTTTGCAGGATATAATCAGTTTTGTATGAAAATCGTTTTGAATTCAATGACCTATATCATGCAAAAGAAACAATTGACAACCAATTTTTTTCTACCACAATTTTTCGATCATGGTCAAATTTTATCCGGAGATACTACCAATACGATTTTTATACAAAACTGATTATATCCTGCAAAATACCCTGTATAAACCAATAATAATGTATATTTTTAGAATGGGAAAAGCGAGGGCAATTCAAATATAAAATAAAATACAGGATAAGCCATTAAAATCCATAAATTGGTTCCAGAGGGAAGTTATTAAACACCCTGTATATTCAAAAATTATTTTAAAATATGTAGTTTAACGCTGTCTACCGTTC